TTCAGACATGTCAGAGTAAAGCAAAATAAAGACTTGTGTTTCACTACAAGTGCGGTTGTTGTTTCCCTTCTTTTTTCAGGAGGAATTACACTTCAAGCCCATGGTTTCACGGCTTCATTTTCCTCCCCAAGAACTGTTTTCCCAACATCCATGTCAGTTAGAAGCATGTTAAACAAATCAAACCTAAAGAAAAGAGCTGCCTTGTGATTTTGTTTCGTTAAAAAAAAAGTATGATAAACAGGAACAAGAACAACAGCAACAACAGTGCTAGCAGCATAACGGCTTCTAGGCAACGTGGCAACCGATGTTCTCCACTTCAGCACATCAGAGGCGTCCTTGCTTCAGTCACCCTAAAGGTACCCTTTTACAAAGTGATAGGGCTTAGGGTTTTTAACTCGGGGCGAGAAGCTGATTTGAAACCCCCTCTGCTGCCAAGCACATGGACGGCTGCTGATTAGAAAAGGGTTGGCAGCAGTGGGCAGATGCCAGGCGGGGAGAGAGATGACGGCCTGTCGCCAGTCTGCCACCCAACCCCTGGTCCCCCCAGTTGTCCCCTCCCCTACTGACCCCTCCCCCGTTGTACAAAAATAAAGACCAAAGACATTTCCGGGACAAACCCGAAAGGGGGAGGGGATGAATTGTAGTAGCGCTTTGTATAAAAATTCAGAAAATGTGACATTGTTGTGATGACACAAACTGCAACATTGCAACATTTGTATTGTTTTTTTTGACCGATCTTAAGAGTTTTGGGGACTTGTGTTGATCATAGGAGGCTGACACTGAGTCTGCCTAGCTAACTAAGTTGCACAATAAAAGATCACAGTGCAACTCTTTTGCACACCCACGCACAAACATGAGCACACAAACACACATGCACTGTACTTTGGGATACTGAACATTCCTTCACCAGCCCACAGAGGATAAAACATTTTGAGCTTTCTGGGTGTTTTACTCATCACTTCATGCAATAAAAACCCACTAGGGTGAGTCCAAAAGGAGACAGACCAGAAGACAAAAAAAAAAATGCTTTTCAAAAAACTAAATGCACTCTTCTAATAGGTCACAATGACATGGAGGCAGTGGTTAGGCCTACTCTGAGAAATAACCAGGCTTTTATCATACTGCTATATTCCAGACTGTGTTGATTTCAGACCAGCTCAATATGACTACATAACTAGTCCATTTCTCTGCTACACCACAGCACTTTTAGTCATCCACCTACAGCCATGCTTAGTAAGAGTGATTAGAGTGACACACATGTGCATTTACACATTTACCCAGCTTCACCCTACATTGCCCCCAAATGTGCCCACATAGTTAACATTTAAACCCCAATAATCTGTTTCAATGCAAGTCAAATAAGTTGATAAAATGCAAAAGATCCACAACAGCTGCACTGCAGCACTGAGGTTCAAAAGTGTATGAAAAATCAGAAATCAATATTTATTTAGTCATATGGGTAATAAACAAAAGGCATGACATCAAAGCTATACCCTTTAGCTATTCAATTCAGCTCCGGAAAATTTACTCTACCAAAAAGGGTTAGCAGTAATCAACCAATACAATACAAACAACTCTGCCAGTTCTGCATTATTCAGTGGCAAATTCTGTTGGGAGAAACTAGATGAGAAATCAATAGCCCTTTCCTTCATTCATGAAGGATGACATTTTTCATAAAAAGACTGGTTCTGGTATGGAGTAATCTGGACTGAGCAGAGGTAGAAAACAGCTTTTATGCATTAAGCAATCACATGTAATTATAATATGACATCAATCAGGTACAAGTGTAATTATATATCTATATATATGTTTACAAAACTCATAATGTATTTTCTCAGAGACACTGAGGCGCACTTTGAATGTTACGTCAAGATTATACTGATGGTCAAGTAGATGTTTTATTCTTCCATGATTATAACCAGAATTATAATCATTATCACTCACTTCAACATTATCAGCAAAATTATTGTTATTTACACAAGGTGTTGAGACTTATTTATATTAGTCTAAATCAGTGATGAGGTCATGCAGGACTGGGGATCTGTACGTCTGACTCTACAACTTTTTCCTTGTCTGCCTCTCTGTCTCTCTGACCTGATGTGTGTCTGTCTTGCTTCATCTACCTGCCATACTGTCTCTATACTCTCTATAGTATCTCTATCTGCCTGTCTGTCTGTCAATCCCGTCTCTCCCATCTCCTATATCTCCATCAGGCTGGGACTAAAATATCTTCGGAGCTCCAGCCTGTCTGAAACGGAGACCTGGAATGTACTACTGCAGAGTCCCCCCCCCCCACACACACACAAACACAGACAGTTTTATACCTTAACAGGCCGACAGGTGCACTTTCACACTGACAATATGCATATGCACACAGAGACATTTACATGCACATACACTCAACATTATACACACTTACACACATACAAGTAAAAATAAAACCATTCAGTGACCATTCACACACACACACACACACACACACACACACACACACACACACACACACACACACACACACACACACAGAGTAATTGTAGTACTGATGATTAGCCTATGGTCTGTGTCTAGAGGAGACAGTGCCCCCTGGTGTGGGCAAACAGTACTCCCAGACAGCCACATCTTGACCCAATCTATGTTGAAAATACTCGTGTACTCTTCTGAGATTGATTAGTCCTGCCTGAAAAATGAGAAAAACGCCTACATCTTCCTAAAAAATACAAACCACTTCCGTAATAGCGGACACCCTATTAAAATAAGTCGGCATGCAATAATGCTTCATATCTCCAAAAACATGTAAGCCTTTCTTAGGCGGAAAACACTATAGCATTTTGACACTACAATAAATATTCAGTTATGCCTATATGACCTTGTAGATCCAGGGGTATTTGACACTTTAATTGGATGTTTGTCTGTGATGTTGGTATTCATCAGGTAAATGGGTGTACTCATCTGATATTAAGTACACAGTCCAATTAGTGAATATGGTTACTGTTAAGAGTTCAAGCTTCAAAGATATAAAAAGAAATGCTATAATTTGCTGTCACATTTACAGCAAGTTAATTTCCTTGAATGTCAGTCATGTCATTGTCATAACTATGTGCATATGCATTTAGACATATAGTCATATATAATTAAAATATATTAGATGTGGCATAGTAGTCAGTATTTCTAAAGCTTTTTAATACTTTGTTGGTTAATTTGATGTGTCAGGGGTTAATTCACAAAATAAGGATATTAGTGAGAATATAGAAAAACAACATTATTAACAGACTTTTTAAAAAATATAATTTTTTGTATTTAATTCAAGTGGATAGGTTGCTTATAAAAACAATTAAAAAATATCCTGAAAAAGTGTTTATGATACTTAATACATAGCTTCTATAATATATTGTGACAACACGATGTTCTAGAGGTCATGTAATAGTCATAATACTGTCATGTCTTCTCTCAAAGTAGTCTAAATTGAAAAATAGCCTACATTATGGCTGTAATTAAGTCAAGATTTGAATACCTTACAATGTGGAATAGTGTGTATTAATTAACAAAACTGCAGTGTATACAGTGAGCCTCGTTCTGTACATTATATTGCATGCACATGTGTTATAGATAAATTAGTAATTCCTGCTAACAGACAAGCTGTATTGCACCTATTTAAAGCGTGCTGTTGCTGTTTACAATACTGCCAGACCACACTGCAATGGAGGAACAAGCACCTGATGGATGAATACATTCATTCGGATGAATACTGATGAGGTAGACTGCAAGGCCACCCTTCTTCCCAATAGTTGCCACCTTGACTACCCGTTCCAAAACCGCTGTCACAGCTTCAGGTTTCCGGCATGCTGTGCTGTAGCCTATCGCTTGTCTCTAACAGAGGTCATGATGCCTGTAATCACAATAATAAAGGACAAGGCCATGCCCTGTTTCGCATGGAGACAAGTCCAAAACCGCACACAAAGACACACAGCAGCTTAGACAGGTGATTTCCCAAGCACACTGGCAAAGTGCATGAGCCAAAACTGTCAAACTCACCTAACACAGTTGCGCGCGCACACGGTCACACACACTTAAACATTGTTGGTGGTTATATTAGTAATAGTGACTGTGTCGAGGAGAAGTTGCCCCTCATAAAGTGACCATAACAACAACCACCACCAATAGCTTTATTATTGCTGATGAGCTTAATTGTAATAATAAGAGGTGAGCGTAGGCTATGTGAGATGCACTAAGTGGAAATTAAAGAGCCGGTTACACCTCCCGCAGGCCAGAGCGCGCACTGCCTGGAGAGGTTGCCTGAGGAGCGCGCACACTTATCGGTGCTCGCATACATTCGTGAATGTGCCCGCGTGTGATAGCTGAACTGACGGAATAACCAGCTGCAAGTGGAGAGCACTGGCCATTTTATACCCCCCTTCCACTACACTCTCTCTCTCTCTCTCTCTCTCGTACAGCTGTTAGAAGTGCAGCAAGTTTTGATCAGACAGACACTGTATAGCCTACTACAATCATCCTGATCTCAAAACAATCAAAAATAAATAACCTGATGGCACAGAAAGGACTGAAAAATACAGGTGAACTAATTGTCTATACTTAATCACAATTTAAATATTTTGAAAAAGGCTAACTGAAATGAAAAGAAATTTTATTTAAAAATGACTACATTTTAAATTCTGATACACATCAAATGTGTAGTGAATTTCCCTAATTTCTCCGCGGTTGTGGACCGTTTCATTTGCATTAGCAACAGTTACATTATTATCTCATCTTGTTGGTAGGTTTGTCTGATTGTGTAAAGTGGAGTTTTTAATGGTTTTAAAATCCCACACTAAACTAAACAGCTCCTGTTAAGATGAACAGACCATACTTTTTGCAGTGTGGAGTCTTGGTTTTGTTCCTAGGCTCCATTTCTATGAGGCACAAAGTGGGCGGGGATGGGATATTCAGATGAGCCGGAGTGACAGCTCCAGTTTCCCCCAATGCTCGGTGCGTCTGAAACTCCACTGGCTCCTTCCCTCCTAACTCCTCACTTCATAGTGCTGCGTACTAAAAACATCGGACGCTAGGGGATCAAGACGCATGCCACATTGCCTCTATGAGGGCACTTTAACAGATCTTTCGGGGGGTTTTTTCCCAGTAAGGGGGCTGTGGAGGGAGGACTTTTTTTATTTTCATTGTCTGATGACTGTTTGCACGGCTGATTATTGAGTCGATTGTTTATTATTTTGGCTGTTGTTGCCCGACGCCGTGCGCGTTTTTTCCTCCCTTTTTGGAATCGGCGACTTATCCCGCGCTCACCAATGTCCTATCCTCAGGGTTACCTCTACCAGCCCCCGGGCTCTCTGGCTCTTTATTCGTGTCCGGCTTACGGGGCCTCGGCTCTGGCCGCACCGCGGAATGAAGACTTGGCGAGGTCGTCCTCTGGCTCAGCCTTCAGCCCTTACCCTGGATCGGCTGCTTTCTCCGCCTCCGCGGGTGCAGGTTTCTCCAGTCCACTGTCATACTCCACTGATCCAACTACGGGATTCCCATCCTACATGGTAAAATATCTCACATTTGTGTTTGATTCTGTATGACGGCTCTCCGAAACAGGTGAATGTGTCAGCGAGTCAAAGTATGTAAGCGCTTTCATGGCTGCGCGATTAAATCGGTACATGTTTTCAGTGCTTTTGGATGATTCACCAATCAGTAAGTGCTTGCGGGACTTTCTTATTGACTGCATGGTTGTTATGCGTTCATATCTTAGTGGCTTTCTCGTCTGGTTGTTAGTATAAAATTGTTGACCCCTTTAGTTTAAATGCAATTTTTAAGCATGAGCTGCAAATTATAATGGTTTGACCAAAGCTTACCACTCATGGCGCAGCTAATTATGTAAAACAGAACACCAACTAAGATTTTTTTTGAGACTTTAGTCATAGAAAATTAATATAACACAATTAACTCTTTCTTCTTCAGCAGTCATTAAAATCACCGGGGATGAAGTCGCTGACTTTATTCTGAGTTGAATAAACGGAATTTTAACATGAAAAGCATGACTGGCGATGCTAATGTCATAGGGCACTTCATGCGTTTTAAGGAAAGGTGCATATCAAGTGATTTGCTAATGGGATTTGTAATGCTGCAAATAGAAGATATGTTAACACATTGGGACAATAAAATAAAAAAAGCAGCAGAAAATGAAAGAAAATGAGGAAGTTAATAGGTGATTACAGAAAATTGAATTGTCCTTTTTATTATCTTTATGGCTATATTAACAGGAGCCATGTTATTAGTTAATCCGATAATGATCTTAACCATTAGTTAACCATTAGTCCATGCCTTTCTGCGGCCTGCTTTTACGCACGGCGTGTTTAGGCCTACTACCCCTGCTTTTAATTACGGTATTCAAAAATTAAAAACGTAATGAGCAAAAAAAAAAATCAGGTGAAGTATTGATACTTTGTTTATTTACAACAATAGACTGCGCGTCCTTAATCAAGTTCCTTACAATAAAATAATAGGCTACTGGATTACAAAAATAAGGATCGGTATTATACAACACTCCAGTTGTTTTCACCTGTGCAGACAGGTTTTTAAAAATAAATATCTAAACTGTTAAACGTAGTAGAATAAAAGTGATTGTTTCCCTGGTTCGCTGAACGTGTTTGTACGCTTAAACATGTATTTTAAATATATGAAGTTGTTTTCGTAAACTAGTCACAAAGCATATAAAACTCAGCGCCAGAAAACACGTCGCAGACCCGTGACTTTTTCCCCAAACTTTCCTCCAGAGCTCTCCGTATGACGCGCACACGACTGGCATGGCCGGGGCATTAAGTTACCACCCATACGGCAGTCCAGGGTACCCCTACCAACTCAACGACCCGGCTTACCGCAAAAACGCCACCAGGGACGCCACGGCCACCCTGAAGGCCTGGCTGCAGGAGCACAGGAAGAACCCGTACCCGACGAAAGGGGAGAAGATCATGCTGGCCATTATCACAAAGATGACCCTGACGCAGGTCTCCACATGGTTCGCCAACGCCAGGCGGAGGCTCAAGAAGGAGAACAAGATGACCTGGGCGCCGAGGAATAAGAGCGAGGACGAGGACGAGGAGGACGGGGACGGAGAGAGGAAAGAGGTGGAGCGCTCTGAAAAAAACTTGGATAACAGCGAGGCTTCAGCGGAGGATGAAGGTGGGGTATAATCTGGCGACCTAGCCAATGATCCATTTAACAATTCAGGGTACGATGGGGGGTGAGACGAGAGGGGAGGGGGGATTCCCCCTTTTTATTTATTGCTCGAGTTATTTATTGCAATAATAATCTGAGGATATCATGACACACACACAATCTGGTTTGAAGAGATTTTTGTCTTTTTGCAACAGACCTGGCTTCATGTGGCCTATTGTTTTAGTAGCCATGCTGGTTTATATAATTATGAAAACGAGGCTCAGATAGATAGACTAAATTACCTGTTAAGGTGGAGGTTTTTTTTCTCTCTCTCTCTTTAAAATGATTAATGGCAGGTTACTGGCAAAGCAGACATAACAATCCACATGAGTGCACGAATGGCCTCAATAAAATTAGACTGCTAATGTTATTCTCCTGATGTTGTTGTTTAATTATGTAAAAGAAAAAAGCATTGTGTTTGGTATATAAAAAGCATATTAGGCGCAACCTACTGTTTAAACTGATGTGAATGATTAATAACTAACTTATTCGAGCCTGGTTCGCTGTAAAACATTAGTGACTGCTCTGAATACAAACACAAGCACACATGAACTATACTTCGACTACAAGAGAAGTTCAAGACAGTTTCGTTTTATTTCTTTTCCCCTTCCTTGGGTTGTTTAGTTTTTTAAAACTATATATTATTATATATGTTTTGTTTGTTTCATTTTGTCCTCTTATTTCAGGTATAAGCTTGCACGTCGACACTTTGACGGACCACTCCTGCTCGGCAGAGTCAGACGGGGAGAAGGTCAGCTGCCGTGTGGGAGAGCTGTGCTCCGAGCAGGCCGGCGACAAATGCGACGAGGACGGCGAGGACCAGAACCACGACCCTCGGGTCCAGCTCTCGCCCAAACCCGTCACCTCTTCGCCTCTTACGGGAGTCGAAGCACCAGTTCTCAGTCATCACCAACACCAACATCACCACCACCACCTCCATCATCTCCACCATCTCCACAGCCAGCGCGAGGATTTGGCCCGGAGCCTCGTCAATAGCAACAATATTAATACCAATAAATCGTCTTCATGCCTTGAAAGCAGACCTTCTTCAGGGCCGCCTCAGAACCCTACAGTTAAGCCCAAATTGTGGTCGCTGGCGGAGATTGCTACCTCGGATCAAAAGCAGCAACATCAGCAACAGCATCTGGGGCAGCCTGGGCAACCAAATTGCCCCTCCTCCAGCGGTGGCCTCCTTACTCCCCCCACGCCTTCCACCACTTCCCCGGCTTCCAGTTCCCCCTCCCTCTACCCGGCCCACTCCATCCTTGGAAGACCTATTTATTACACTTCTCCCTTTTATAGCAATTACACAAACTATGGCAACTTCAGCCCCCTGCAGGGCCAAGGGATCCTGCGGTACACTAATTCATCTGGAGTGAGTCTGGCTGCCGCCGCCGCCGCCGCCGCCGCTGCTGCTGCAGCAGCAAACGAGGGTCTGAGCTCCTCTCACCAGGCTCTGGAGGCGAGCACAAACCCTAAACACAGGCCAGACTCTCCCCTCGTTAAAAATAACCCAAACCAGATTGTTGTTGTCGAGCAGCAGCAGCAACAGCAACAGCATTTCAGACAAGCAAATTTAGAAGCAAAGAAAGGTACGTAATAACACGATGCGGTGCAATGTTAACGAAGTGTTTGAACACGTATTTAATCTGGCGTTGAATCTTGAAAATCGCATTTGGTTTTTAACGCGGGAGGGAAATGGCATCATGGTGGAAGTAAAATGAGTTCACTTGTTTCCAATGCAAATCAACTGGTTTTCCTTTGTGTCACTTTCATGTTGCAGCCACACCATGTGATGATCTGGCTGGGTTCTGCCTTGTTCCAAGTCTCAAATTAAGACTTTTCTCGCGCGAGAAACAAATGTCATCATCTGACACTATTGGCAGATTTTCACTTGTTTTAAGATGAATACGATTTTAGGACTGAATGTGAGACTAATTAAGATGAACATTTTACAGTGCCGTCTAAGCAATTGAACGTGTACTATGGCCTATAATTCATTTTCAGCGGAGTGCGATTTCTGGAATAATCCATTACAATTGTTGTCCATTTGTTTTAAAAATGTGCACATATACTAGCCTCATTGAGTCATTAAGTATCAGGCGCTTTAGAAACCAATAGGATATAAGAAAAAGTGTGTAGCAAATAAGCGTGCAGCAGTACACCTACAGATAGAGACATTAAAATAAGCACCATTAACAAAAGGCCTCAAATCAGCCTAACCACGAGCACCCACAAAGACGCACAGTGGCAGCCCATGCAGAGAAATGTTGCCATAGTTTTGAGCAGGAATCTTATTTTTAATGTTTCCTCTGGTGTGTGTGTGTGTGTGTGTGTGTGTGTGTGCATGCACAGTGGGCCACAGACCTTATCTTTCAGCTTAGGATAATTATAATTACACAGGGTCAGCCAAAAGCAAACAAATCAGTTTGCTCTGTGCATTCAGCGTGCAACTTTACTTTACATCTTCCAATGTCACTTAGGTTGTTATGGTGGTTACTTTTATTGCTCACATTTCTTGCTTCTTCTTCTTCTTTTTTTTCTACACCGGTAATTAGGCAGTGGGGATTTCAATAAGCACTTGCAGTTTAGAGCTGTTTTGGGTAGAGCCAACCTGAGAAAACTTTGTGCTTTCTGGGTTTGTGGAAGGAGTTGATCATTTGATCGCGTGGGGATTTTTATTTCCACGGTCTGCAGGTAGGTGTCACAATTGCTTTGAGTATAAAGCGAGTAAGGCCACCACCTTTTTGCCCCATGTTTTAACCCCCCATAACCTTTGCTCCAAACCGGATCTAGTGCCACCATATTGTCGGAATGAAAGCTGCTACCGCTTCCTCAGCTCCACACAGGCTGAGACACTCTCCCCAGCACACACGTTTCTAGGATTACTATTGTATTATTTCAGTTGTTTTCTTTTGATGCATTGTGGATAATAATTTCATATGCTGGTTTGAAAAAAAAGATCTCCCATTATATGTGATTTACATGTTATTTCTCAGGTTCCTATAGTTTGCTTATTTGCCATGGTATATTATTTTAGTCGCCTATATATTGACGTGTGGAAAACATAATTTGGCCTTTCAATGAAACCGTATTTGTAAAAGGAGGTGTCTCGGGACGCAGAGCGGACGGAACTGAAGTGAACTTGAGGACTTCAAAGTGGAATAGCCTACATTTGATATTTATTTTTTTAAATGATGGCGAAATAATGCCTATAATTTATGCAAGTTGTATTGCAAAAATGGGAAACTGACATCGTCTGTTTGTTTTGTAAATATATATATTATGGACGGTTTTTATTTGAGACGCATTTGGGAAAAAGCTACACAATCTTGTTATCAGGAGTACTTTTACTAATTTATATCTTTGAATGTACATAAAATAAAAAGCGCTGGTATAGATGTACTGGCGGGGTATGCTATTCATTATTCAAAGGAGAAAATATTAAACTGTTTTCCCAACTATCACATCAATCTTCGGGAGTCATTATTTTATTTATAACGGACCTGTATTTAACAAAGGCATTTTTTTATTCACTCTGCTTATTCTTCTTTTTATTTTGTTAGTCAAACGCAGATGGGAAATTGCTTGATGGATCTCCCTTTTCATAAACATTATGAGTTTTCACAGATTGCACAATCCATTCTTTCTAAATGGACTATCATTTTCTTTTAGGGCCTCATTCTGGTCAGGGAATCTCCCTCGGCCACACATTCACGACCTTGATTGGGATAAACGACATACTTATTTCATTTTTATCCCCTTTTCCCCTCTCCCCTCATCCTGCCAAACATTTGTTTTTCAGTGTGATTAATACAGCCGTGGGACGCATCGGGCATTATGGGCTCCCAGCGGGGCCCGTCCCTGGAGCTTTTTAGCCTGGTTCAGGATGGGTCAGCCCTGCCTGCTTCATTACGGCACGGCATTGAGCAATCCATAAAAGTCTATCTAAGCATCTGCCAGCTCCAATGGGCTGTGTGATGGGCCCTAATCGGACAGGCTTTCCTGTGCTTTTCATCATGGCTTGCTTATTACAGCTTCAGGACACAGCTTATTAAACAATTTAGAAAAACACTTAGGTCTAAGGAAATTTATAATAATAATAATATAATAATGACAATGATGATGATTATTAATATTGTACACACTTTAAATTTGGTCATTTTTTAGGTTTGAGAAAATTAATTCCAATATTTTGTCACCCACTGTTGTGGCCTTGTAGAGTGTGAGACACTCAAAGATCAAATATATAATATTCCCATGCTCCAAGAGGAGGCCTCCATCATCGCTCCCAGCCAGACTAAAAGCTAATCCTTCATTTTCCAGTTGAATTTGAGCTTGAGTGTTGTCAAAATCTCAAGGGACTCCCTTTCACCTTGCACCCCACCACCCCCACTCTCTTCTCATACAAGGAAGTAATATTTGGCTGCAAGCAGGGATGTAGTGGAGGGTAAACCCACCTAAACTCAGTTAACCCACCTTTTAGGCTGACCAAGTGACATCAATTCATGGTCTGCTTTGCAGTGAATAGTGTCACACTGTCAGAAATTTTATAAATGTAGTCTTTTAAGGAGAAAAAAAATAACATTCAGAGATATTTTTTTTAAAACTATTATTGATCTTTGTTTAAATTGGGTGTTGTTCTCCTTTTGATAACCACTGCCAGATACTGATTTATTCTACCTACCTTTTTATTTACCTTTACTTCGCTGGCAGCCACCTATATGGCAGTCATGCACGCTATAGCCCCTGGCCATCTTCTTCTTCTTCAGCCTGAACACTTTCATTAGGGGTTGATTTATTGAAATGCATGCTGTATTCTCAGGTGGACTCCCCCCGGGAACCCAGCACTGTTGTCAAATAGCAACAGAGGCCCTCTCCAAAGCAGACAGCCCTCCCTTTCTCTCACCCACCGCTGCACCCTCCAAATGTCAACATTTGTTCTCAATAAAAAGAGTTATTGTTTCTGCTAAAAGAAAATTGCTCAGCAACCGGTCGCCTTTGAACACATGAAAAGAAACTTCCACCCCACCTCTTTGTTTGATTGAGAGCAATGGCAGGTGAAAATGGGAGCAAGGCATCCATTGCACATGAAAAATCTCTAGCTGTGAAGCTTGATATGAAATGATTGTGAATTTATGCCACAATTAGGCACAATCGTACAGAGGCATTTCCATGCCTTTTGAAGAACTTGAACTTTGCCTCACAACTATTAGCCAGCGTGCCATTGACAGTCTAGATATTGATCCTCAAGGGCAAAAAAGGCAATTTACTGTTTTACGAAGTCTGCTAGAGCATAAGGCCTAGCTATGCCTACGCTTTAGAGCGAGGGGATGATTTAAATGTATCTAGATATTCTTTAATTCCATGCATTGCATATCAAATACAGTCATAATCTTATCGTGTAGCTTACCAAAGAGGGTGTGTTCATCCATGCTAAGGACTAGTTGTCATTGAAAGCTAAATTGATGGTATCGCAAGGCTCATAGGCTTCATGAGAGTGTAGACTGGAGAGCAAGTGGACTCATTCCCCTTATCGTTGATCAAATAAGCAGCTCGTATATGTAGATAATTCATGAGCTCTCTGTATCTTTTATCCTCCCATCAACCCTTTCTCCTCCAAAATGCTTCAGACATTAATCTCTGATGCACACCTGTGTGCCCCTCCAACAGGAAGTTAATGCAGCTAAAGTTTTATTATAGCAATAGAGGGTTTATTATGTTTCACAAACAGTAATTGCAGTAGTTAATGGGATGGGAACTTAAGTAAGACCAGTGGGATTTGATGAAGTAGCTACAGACACCAAGGAAAGAAAAATGACACTGAAATTCAACTTGCAGTCCATATGAATAGACCTCCATGTATGTCTCTCACAGGCAGAATCTTAAATCCTTAATCTAGGATGTAATACAGGCAATACAATTCATGGACAACACCTTGACAGAAAACTGTAAAAGAAAACTGAATGTTTAAGTTTTTCTGGGAGAAAAACCCACCAGAAATGTCATGCAGTTAAAGTTCAAATGTGTAAACTATCAATTATCTTTCATATCATGGGTTATTTGTAGTCCCTTAGATAAAGAGTGAGTAAATGTGAGCAAAACAATATAGAACAATATTACCCTTTGATTTAATCTTTCTTTAATTCCACTCTTTCTGACACTCTTATATCTTTGTTATGGTAAATCCACCCATTAAGACCTAACCATAAATACTGCTGATGTTAAGACTAAACGGTAAGTAGGACTAATATTCAGGGGAGGGCGAGAGACGAAAGAGTGCCTCGTACAAATCAGGTACAGGTGTGTTTAATAACGCACATCAAAGTGGACAGGGGACTTTAAAAATGAGTCCGGGGTCCTGTCCTCTCGTAAAGGTGTCAGGTGAAATATTCACTACACTGGATGATCAAGGTAAGCTGTGCAGGATTTTGACACACTCATGCGCACACACAACAAAACATATACATACTGATCCTCGCATGCTTCCCACTCCGTAACCATACCGCTCACTCACACACACACACACACTCTCTCTCAGACTGAGAGACGCTAATGCTTGTCCAAAGACAGTCTAAACAAGGCCATTAGGGGACCTGACTTCCACTCCTAATTGACAGTTATGTTTAATGCCTGTGGTGAGTAAACACTTCAGAGTAGTTGACTGCACCTTTGGGCTGTAAATCAGGCAGAAACTGGAAGCCCGTGTTGGAGGCGGCAGTGGAAACTCCTGTAAAGGAGAATGTAAAAGGTGAGATGCAAACGGCACGTTTGTGTGTGTGTGTGTGTGCATGTGTATGTCTACAATTTTAATGCACTTATTATGTAGTATGCAAACACATAATATGACATAGGTTCATCGTTTTTTTCATGAACTTAATTGTGTCCTTGTGGTATAGTTGCTCTATTACTGTTGTTATGGTACTTGAAATGGTGCAACAAATACCATACAGCATTTTGTCCTTTTACAACTCCATATCCTCCCTGATTAACACATGTAAATACATTACAATGCTACCTTTCACATCCCAGTAAATCATGTGTTTTAGCCAGGTGTTGGAATGTCATTAGAAATGGCACAAAAATTAACACGTTCCTTGAATATTCGTGTAAGGAATGGAATGAAAGACAATTAAAGTATAGAAAGGGATTCACATTTCATATTCACAAGGCAGTTCATTGTTAGATTGTGTGATCAATATGATGTGTCCCATTCATAGGTCTGAATGTTGCTCACATGTTCTGTTTAGTTTTACAATAATAGAATTACACTAAACTTAGACTTCATGAAACTGAACATGAAACTATTTACATAAACACACACACACACTGTTGGGTCATATAGTATGAGTGACAGAGTGACATGAGACATGTTAAGAACAGTAAAATAATGCTACTGTTACATAAGTGTTACCTCTGCCCCTCTCTCTGTCAATGTATCACATGCTCACATTACAACACACGTAAATATGCTCAGTACAATCACACACTAAACACACACACACACACACAACTGGAAAGAGTCGCTGTCTGTTAAGAATTATGTAAAGACAGAACAGTCATGGCATTCTGTCATGTTAGTGTTACACTACATGAAGAATAATAGTGCAGTGGTAAACTACACATTTGTATGGGCTAATACAAATAAAGGAAGAGAGAAGGATGGAGTGACCGAAGTCCAATCCAGTCAAATCATGTGGTTTGAGTGACTTACTTCTCCTGCCACAATAAATAAATAAATAACCACTTTCAAATGCATACACTTTAAATAAAAAATATGTCAAACATATAAATAGAATTGAAAGAAAAAAGTTGCAGCATAATACTGAAACTTTCAACATCTATTTTATTGCAGCACTTTTAAATGATTTATTTAAAAACCCAGATGTGATTTAATTCAAAGTGACTACATATAATTGCATGTGTGTTTGTGTTAGTGTGTGTGTGTATATTTATGTTTCCACGTGTTCTATATATTCATAGTATATGACTGCTACTCAACATGCTGTGATATGCGTCTAAGTCAGTTAAACCTCCATCCTGAATTGCGAACTGTCAGCTTTTAAGATCAGTGAGTCCAACAAGTGGATGAGGCAGACAGAGAAAACGTGGGTTTTCTCTCCTCTTGTCTGTCTGGAGTGTTTTATAAATGAGCTCAACATGTCTGCGCAGAACCTTTTTTCCCCCTCACGTACTCTGCGAGACATATCAGGGAAGTGATTCATGTTAAATAGTATCTGTCAGACTTGTCGGCTAATTAAATGAAGCTTTGCTTTAAGCGAGCACTTTAGCATCATACCTTTTCACTTGATTCTACAGCTTTCAACCCAAGCAACTTTCAGTGAGTAATGGGGTAGCATGCAAATCAAACAGCATTAAATGTAAATTTATTGAAGAAAAACTGTAACCCAAGATGCTCGTTTAATGAAAATAACCTGGAAGACATGTCTTGAGGCAGAGTTTGAGG